TAATCAATATCACTCTTTAGTATTAATAATTTCAAAGAGCTAATCATATCTATTTAGCAAAAAAATATTAATAAAATAAAATGAAATTGTCACAACATCTATGGGACTAAGATGATGTGTCAACTAAGTATTGGTGTTCTAAATTCCACGTCATCTATTTCCATCTTTGGATCGTCATGTTTTATTTATTTATTTATTAATATTATTAGATTGCAACAACAACCGATGTAATTAAGACAAAGTACGAGGAAAAAAGAAAAGCTCAAGAACATTTTAGTTTGTAAGAAAATGTTAAAATTGTACGAAGATAGACATAGAGATTATGGCATGGAAAAAAACATTAGTGGAAGACAATATTTGAAATATTCTTTTTGAGTGGGAGCGAGTTATATATGTTGAGGTACGATAAAAAAATGTCGAGTAAAGACAAGGTCTTTGTTAGTTATGAAGATTATTGAATTTAACAATGATGAAAATAAATATCATATCAAAACGACGATAATAACTGAGATTTCATTGTCTCGACACCTATTCATACATTATGTTCTATAAAATTGAAACCCCATATAACTTAATTTCTCAATCGAAAAATCTAAATCCAATGAACGTATATTCACTGTATTTCATAAAACAATTAACTTATCTTTAATTTATGTGGAACCAAAACTACATATGAATGAGAGTGATTCTTAACGTAAAATGACTAAGAAAGACTTAAAATAATTGAAAGTTACTGCCTACGTGTGAGATCCCATATCGCTTGGAGAGAAAAACAAAAGATTCGTTATAAGAGCGTGGAAACCTCTTCTTAGTAGACGCGCTTTAAAACCATGAGGCTAATGACAATGTGTGATGGTCTAAACCGAACAATATCTACCAACAGTGAGCTTGAGCTGTTACAAATGGTATCAGAGCCAGACATCCACTAATGTGCCAGCGAAAACGTTGGCTCCCCAAGGGGTGGATTATGAGATCCAACATCGATTAGAGAGGGGAACAAAACTTTCATTATAAGAGTGCAGAAACCTCTGCTATGCCAAAGTGGACAATATCTGCTTTGTCAATAAGATACACTTTCAAGTGTGCGGAAGGCACTGACGTTGGTCTTTTGGGATGATATACACTTTTAGAACCGAGACAAATGTCGAGAACACCAGACACTGAATCCAAATCGTGGGCATAAAAAAAAATCTTTTGTTAGGAAAAAAAGACTATGAGATCCAAGATCGGTTTGAGAGAGAGGAATGAACAAAACTTTCATTATAAAAGTGTAGAAACCTCTACTATGCGACAATATCTGGTATGTCAATAAGATACACATTCAAGTGTGGTGAAAGCACGGACGATGATATTCACTTTCAAAAACGAGACGAATGTCGAGAACATCAGATACTGAAACGGAATCGTGGGCATGAAAAAAAAAAAAAAAAAAGATTGTTTTTGTTAGGAAAAAAAAGAAAAAGAAAAAGTTATGAAAGGGGGTTTGTTTGGCTCCACAAGGGGTGAAGAAGCCTCCCACCCCCATGTGAGAAAGGTCCCCCATTTGCATACTTGTGTTGATGGCTCCAACCCAAGTGGTTGTCTTTGCTGTTGTTTGCTTTCTCTCTATATTCCCATTCCCATAGTTGTTTGGAGTTTTATTTAAAAGAAAAGGAAAAAGGAAACCCACATTAGGTAATATATAACCCCTTATATATTGTTGTAAAGAGGGTACCAAAACCCATGTGATCATCTGGTGTTTGCTTCCCCTCAATTAGGATCAAAACTTGGCCTTTTTCCCCCCTTCCTCCCCCCTTGTGGCCCTCCTCTCCCTTATTCTCTTTCTCATACAAACAACAACTCCTTTCCCCATCTGCATGTTACTCATACCACCTCCAATTATATCTCTTTCTCTTTCTATATATATCTATATATATATCTATATCTACTCTATTTTACTTTTAATTTTACTCGATTAAAACTATTTTAACGACTTCGAAGGTGACCGATACGTCTCGTTTTTCCATACACCTCGATTTTAATAATTCTTTCGAGTCCAGGGTTTATATAATGTAGTCTGTTACTAATATCTTTTCTTTTTTCATTGATGTTGTCGGACGTGTCATTTGATGATATTACGTATAAAAGAGGGTAACGACAAACATGATTGTTTGGGTCGAAATCCTTCGAAAATTATTGTTTCCGAAAAATATTAAATAAATAAATTAAGGGATATTGGAGAATCTTGTTTCCTCCAATCAACCTTATACTTGAATATCTTCCTTTTATGTATGCTCTTGTGAATGAAAATGAAGAGGGGGTTGACTTTTGGTATTTTTATTTTTTTATTTTTCAAAAAAATAAAATTATTTTATTTTTTTAATTTTGTGGGTGAATGTGCTGGAAATTTGCTTTATGCATGCATGCGATGATCTCAAAATCTAATTCTTAATCATTATGTTTTATGTAATTATACTAATAAATTGGTTTAATTAAGCAATCTTTGTTATGTTTGATAATTAGAAAGAAGACAAATTCACTTATAATTTAAGTCAACCATAATAATAATAATAATAATAATCTATTTTATCTTAAATTTTCATAAAATTTATTTGATCATAGAATGTGTGAAGCACCCAATAACATGGAGCCCATTAAAATTTCATGAACCATGTTACTACTGAAACTATATATTAGTAGGTTTTTATGATATTCCAGATCTTATATTATAACTTTTAATATAATTCTCTCTCTTGTTTAATATTATAGTTCTAAAGATTGGTAGCATGTGTTGGATACCTCTAAACCTACCTACTCTCACATGTGCTTCTCACTAATAGCTTCACTTTGGATGTCCCAATCTTTATATTTAATTTTAATATATAGTTTTTAATTCGACGCATTTAGAGAGAGAAAGTGTGCATTTTTTTTTTAATATACTAAAGTAGGTTGAAAACCCAATGTTTATTTTGACTGAATGTTTGTTTTTCTCTTCTTGAATTTATAATCGTTGGAATTTGCATGACTCTAATTATAATTTTTAATAAAACATTCGATTTTTGTATTAGATTCGGGTAAGCACGAACTCGAATCAAAGGCTATACGGTTATCAAATGAGCTAGGGTCGAATACTCGTGGGGGCAATAATGCACGGAAATAATTGAAAGTAGGGCAAAAATGAAGAGGGGAATAAACTTAATGGTATAAAATAGAAGTCGTTGATTTGTGGGGTAGCAGATCAGACAATTTGGTGCCCATTGTTACCGCAACAATGCAAGACAAAGAGGATTTTCAGGAACATTTTTTTTTTTTTTTTTTTATAAATTGTTTTTAACTTTTTCATTTTATTTTAAATAATGAATTTCATACGTAATTGTAGCCCACTTTTGACACACAAAGCAAACATTACAACAATAATTTATTGTGTAACTAATTATTGCTGAAAATAATAATAATTTTCTTTTTGAGTTTTTTTTTTATTTTTTTTAATAGTTTATAAATAAATAAAAAAATCGTAAAATAATCCCCCAAAAGCCCGCTGTTAATCGTATTGGGTTGGTAAGTACCAATGCAATAATGGGCTTTGGCCCACATATTTAGGCCCATTAGCTTTTTTTTTTTTTTTTTTTTTGTTTACCTGAAGTAAAAGATTATTGTGTATTATAAATTTTGAATAATATATTATTCATAATTTGATATGTTCCAAAAGCTAAAAACATATAAAATGGAAATTATTTATTGAGAGGCCCTTACCCCACTCATCAATGAATGAATTTGAATGAATCTCCCCTGATGCACACAAATGCTTTCCATTCAAAGTATCCAAAGCTCAAAAAAGAAATATATTATTTGAGAGTTGTTTTTGAAGAAAGAGTCTGGTAAAAGTGAGATCTCACCGTGGTTGGAGATGAGAACGAAACATTTTTTATAAGGGGTGTGAAAATCTCTCTATAGCACACGCATTTTAAACCCGTTAAATTGATGGTGATGCATAAAGTGTCAAAGCAGACGATATTTGTTAATAGTGGGGTTGAGTTGTTACAAAACTATTACATTAGGCCTCCAAATGAAATGGATTGTGAGATTTCATACTGATTGAAGGGGAGAATGAACCATTCTTAGAAAGTTAGATATTCAGGTGGTGCGTGATAAGTTTGAAGGATGGGTAAGAGATACTTGGAATTATGGTGACATGCTGATTTTCCCTTGTCATCGAGTGTTCATGATTCTCTCCGGTTTTTGCACTCCCTCTTTTGGTTGTGACTCGAGGCTGGTCTTCGACGTTTTTGGCATGTTCGTGATCGGCAACGAGAATTCTTTCAGCTCGGGGTCGATAAACGCCTTTGTTTGGTGGTTTATTTCATTGGTAGGCGTGAACATGGGAGGTTTTATTTGGTTAGCTAAACAGGGCCATTGATGAAAATGGTATTCCATATCCTTGACACCCTCACAAATCCCCGCACCCCTGCCTTTCTCACTATTTTCAGTTGGGCTAGCCCGTTGATTTGTAAATGGGCTGCTGTTAGTTGAACTTGAATGGGCCCGATGATTTTAAATGGGCTGCTATGGGTTGAACTTGAATGGGCCCTCTGATTTGTAAATGGGCTTCTGAGGATTGTACTCGAATGGGCCCGCTGATTTTAAATGGGCTGCTGTTGGCTGAACTTGAATGTGTCCGCTGATTTGTAAATGGGCTTCTGTTGGTTGAACTTTAATGGGCCCGCTGATTCGTAAATGGGCTGGTGTGAGTTGAACTTGAATGGGCTCGACGGAAATAATCAAAATATCGAAAACCAAGACCGAGTAAATATTCGGTCGTTCTTATTTGAAAACCGAAGCCGCCAAACCGGCAGCGGTTCGGTCGGTTTTTCGGTGTTCCCTTGCACCAATAGTTTGTAGAACAAAAAAAGAGGAATATACTAAGATACGAGATGAAGCAAGAACGTGAAGAGAAAGGCGATGCGCCGCGTGATTGGGGAGCAGCCAAATGTAACCAAAGGCCAAATTTGTATACAAAAGGCCGCCTTTGGTCACCGCCAACGGGGGGCGGGCGCTGTCTCTTTGACCAGCAAAGAGGAACAGAACAAATATCGAATAGCTGAAACAAAAACTAAAACACCCCTTTCCCACCAAATTGTTGTCTCTCTAAGCAATCAATTTCAAAGAAAACAAGGAATTCACTGCGAAACCTGAAGAACTCACCTACCCACTTCCGTTTTCACATCGTTTTTTCGCTGTTCTTGCTGTTGCTCTACACGATTCGCCTCGTCGGAACGGCACCCATCGTTCTCGGCGATATCATTTGGTTCACCGACTTCTTAGATTTATCAATGCGTTCCTGAGTTCTGTATCTTGATTTGCTTTGCCCTCCTTGTTTGTTCGATTCAGATTAGGGAGGCCATGGATGCGAATAGTTCGCGATTTCAGTCGTTTGGTCAGACTGAGATTAACTGGGACAAGTATTTTCATCTTCCCTTTCCTTTACTCTGCCTTTCTTTTTCTTTTTTCCCGTTCCATTCCATGTATCTACTGTATTTGCATATATTTCTGTACTTCGATTTGGAAACTTTTCTCAGCTATTGCGTTGAATGATATAGGTTGCTGACTCGCTCCAGTATTAATTGACCACTCTGGCTTTGTTGTTTGTTCTCCTTATGCATGACTTTGATGCATCCGTAGATCGTAGAGTTATTGAGCGCTCTATTTTGGTTCTTGATGATCTATAAGAGAAGAAATATCGAGGGAAGGTGACACCTTGTAATTGTGTGTGTGTGTGAGAGAGAGTAAGAGATCCATAGTAGGGCTTGGGGGAAAAAAACCTCGTGATATGATCTGTGGATTAAATTTGAAACGTCTTCTCAAACTTGAATTAACCTGGGGTTTAAGATAGAACTTGAAATTTGGGATAATTCTGGCTTTGAGATACTCATTGCAATTTGATGCTTTAACCTGTTTGTGAAAATGATGAACAGGCTCGGCTGTTCTCTTAGTAGTCACAACTAGTCAACTAGATGCTATCTTTTAGTCTCTGGTGGTGCTCGTGCTTTTGAAACGTTTTAAGTACTTTGCTTGTATAGTATACACTGGCTTGTTATTCTTGAAAATTGAGATTGTTAGTGTAATAGTCAGCCCATTGCTAGTAAATATTGTCCTCTTTGGGTTTTTCCTTTCGGGCTTCCCCTCAAGGTTTTTAAAACGCATTTCACGCCCTTATAAAGATGCTTTGTTCTCCTCCCCAACCGACGTGGGATCTTACAATCCATCCTCCTTCGAGGCCCAGCATCCTTGCTGACACTCGTTTCCATCTCCAATCAACGTGGGACCTCCTAATCCACCCCTTTGGGGCCCAGCCTCCTCATTGGCACATCACTTGGTGTCTAGCTTTGATACCATTTGTAACAGCTTAAAGAGGACAATATCTGCTAGCGGTGGGTCCGTTTGCAATATTTGTGCTCTTCTATATTCTTTTGACTTAAATGCTATATGGAATTGGCTGGATACTTGGCAAGTTTGTAGGTTTTGCATCTGAGCATGTTGAGACTAAAAAGTTGCAATATCTTATACGCTACTTTGTTTATCAATCCTGCTACATCTTGCAGGCTTGATAAAGCAAAATTTTATGGCATCGGAGCTGGGCTCTTTACTGGGATTACAGTTGCACTGTACCCTGTTTCCGTTGTAAAAACAAGGATGCAGGTTGCTGTAAAGGATTCTGCAGAGAAAAACGCGGTGTCTGTCGTTAAAGGCTTACTTAAGAGTGATGGGGTTCCTGGTCTTTACAGAGGGTTTGGCACAGTAATCACTGGTGCAATTCCTGCAAGGATTATCTTTCTTACCGCTTTGGAGACGACCAAAGTGGGAGCCTTTAAAATGGTTGAGCCATTTAAATTTTCTGAACCCTCACAGGCTGCTATAGCAAATGGGTTAGCTGGAATGACTGCATCTCTTTTCTCTCAAGCTGTTTTCGTTCCAATTGATGTGGTATGTAGACTTGTTTTAGTTTTTTTTTTAAATTTTGGTTTTTGTTCATCTATTGTTCACTTAAAAGCTTGAATATTGATTCCACTCAGATTAGTCAAAAGCTAATGGTTCAAGGATACTCGGGCAACACAAGATATAACGGGGGCTTAGATGTTGCTCGTAAATTGGTAAAGTCCGATGGGATCCGGGGATTGTATAAAGGTTTTGGGTTATCTGTTATAACCTACTCTCCATCTAGTGCTGTATGGTGGGCAAGTTATGGTGCAAGTCAACGCATCATCTGGAGGTGAGACGTGGTAATTTTCCTTCATTTGTGTTCAAGCGTTGAGTTTTGATCATTGCATAATATGCATTTCAACTATTGTGGTTACTGTGTTTTGAACTATTGTGGCTAAAAGATGCAATATGGAAATGGAACACATACGCTAGTAGGAATTGTCCAACAGATATCTGATCTGACGTTGAAATTTATAATATTGAAGGTTCTTAGGCCAAAACTCAGCTTCGGAGAGCTTTGCTCCTAGCCATTCCCAACTTATTTCAGTGCAAGCTGGGGGTGGAATAATTGCAGGAGCAACAGCTTCCTTCATTACAACACCATTGGACACCATAAAGACTCGCTTACAGGTACTTACTCCCAATCAAAATGTGTGTTGTATTGCTGGTACTGCACTGGAGTTTTATAGTTTGATGGGGTATGGAGGTGTTCATAGGTGATGGGCGATAAAGGGAAGACAGCAAGACAAATTGTTGAAAGCTTAATCGCTGAGGATGGATGGAAAGGTTTCTACAGGGGGCTGGGTCCTCGGTTCTTCAGCATGTCAGCCTGGGGAACCTCCATGATATTGGCTTACGAGTACTTGAGTATGGACTTCATATCCTTATCTGTTGTGTTTGTGAATACTTTTCCCCTTCATCATCTTTCTGATTGGGTGTTGTTGTGCAAAATTTAGAGCGCCTGTGTGCAAATGATGAACAGAGTTGAGCCCGTCAAAGATGTTTAGAGGCAAGGCGAGGCAAGGCGGCCAACATTTTTTACCCCTCACAACAAGGCCAGGCTGAATTGCAGAGGGGAATGAATAGCTCCTAATTTTTTTAGACATATGTTTTGTCTTATTATTTCATCACAATAAACTCTGCTCAAATACACAATGTAAGCTTAGTATTCTCGCATTTGTATTTTGACTAACAAATATTATTCTTGTTGTTGTATGGCCCACGTTATGAATGTGAAGATTAGTTAACGCTTCACAACAAAAGCGTGATTTACTTCACTGTCTCAATAATTAATCCTTTGTTTATTATTATTTTGAACTTTTAATTAGTTTTGTTTCAGTTCTTATCCCTTGAAAATGGGTCACACAAACATGCTTCCCTCCCTTCCCTCTCCTGTATATAAGCTGAGAGAGATCGGGAATAATGATAACAGAGAAACCCCAGAGCTTCGAAGAACAACAATAATGGTGGAGAAGAAGGGTGGACGAGTAGTCGTGATTCCATTTCCTGCACAAGGCCACGTTAACCCTCTAATGCACATTTCCAAAGGGCTGGCAAAGCAAGGCATCAAAATCACGATGATCAACACACATTTCATTCACAGTAAGCTACTGGCAGCCATGGGCCAAAACATGGACCAAATCCTTGGCCCAAACGTTGAGCTCTTGGGTCTCCCTGATGGGTTTCCTCTCCACGAAAACAGAGACGACATACACAAGCTGTTCGTGGATACAATGAACAATTTAAAGCCACAGTTTGAGAAATTGCTTGCCAAGATGAACACGGAGCAGGACGGCGGCCTCGCTTGTGCCATTGTCGATATGTCGATGGGTTGGGTCCTCGAAATCGCTGCCAGTTTGGGCGTGAAAGGAGCCATTTTCACGCCTTTCACAGCCGCTCACTCTGTTTTGAATCTCAGCCTCAACGAACTTATTGAAAGTGGCATCATGACCCCAGAAGGGATTCCGGTAGAGGAAAAGACAATCGAGTTGGAATCACTGGGAACTCCCTCAATGATCCACACTAGTGACCTTCCTTGGCGGCGCGTTCCATTCAAGAACTCGCAAAAGATTTTGTTCGATCACTTGGTTAGAGTCCAGCGAGGGTGCCATTACGCGAAATGGTACATTTTGATAGCGCCTCACGTACTGGAGCCACAAGTTGTTTCACTCAACCCCAAGCTTCTAACGATCGGCCCACTCATTGCGACGGAGGCAGGGCAGTTATGGAAAGAAGACGACTCCTGCATCCATTGGCTAGACCAGCAACCGGCAGGGTCGGTTGTGTACATGGGATTTGGGAGTAGCACCGCCTTCAGCCGGGAACAGTTTGAGGAGATCGCGATGGGGATGGAGCTTACGGAGCGGCCGTTCTTGTGGGTGGTGCGGCAGGGAACGGAGCACCAATTGCCAGCGGGTTTTAAAGGGAAGAAAGGGAAAATAGTGAGTTGGGTGTCGCAGCAAAAGGTGCTGAACCACCCTTCTGTAGGGGTTTTTATGAGCCACTGTGGGTGGAACTCTGTAATCGAAGGGGTGAGCAGTGGGTTGCCGTTTGTCTGTTGGCCGTACGTGGGAGACCATTTTCTGAACATGAAATACGTGACTGAGATTTGGAAGGTGGGAATTGGGTTTGAAAGGGAAGTGAATGGGGTTGTAAGTCGTTGGGAAATCAAGAAGAAGGTGGAGTTAGTCGCAGGGAATGAAGAGACGAAGGGTCGAAGCAGAGCTCTTGCGGAGGACATAGGGAGGTGTTGGGAAGGGGCTGATGCTCCTTCTGCCCTCAACTTCGCTCGACTTGTTAGATGGGCGAAGCAAGGAGATGATGATGATGATGATTGATATGTTTATTATGCTTAGGTCTGTCTTCTCTTCTAGGCCCAAACCCCCACTCTCTTCACCCCTTTTATTGCCCCCGTTTGGGTCACAAGCCCACGCTTTCCACCTCGCCGACTGTCAAGGATTCAAATGCTCCTTGTAAACAAGGTGATTAATTCTAACTTTACCAATGTGGGATTAACAAGTGTGAGTGCTAATATATATATGTATATATTTATATATCATCCTTTCTAAGTAATTAGAGAAAATTATTATAAAAAGAAAATACTTATATTATCGATAGATATAAATGATATTATTATATTTAAATCACAATAAAGATTAAACTTAGGGAACAAAATAACCGAAATTACCAAACTAGGCATTAGCAGGCTGGTTCCGAGAAAGCGACGCAGAGCTAGTGCTCTGTTCACTGAACATATCTTCACTCATAAGCGTCGACGCCGTGAAATCGGAGCCGCTCAGCACGGTGGCGAGGTGGCCTTTATACGACTCACTCCGGACAGGACCCACCATCGACCTGATTGGAGAAAATGGCCCCTCTGGATAGTTCAACTCGTCGTCGGCACGATCCTCATCTGCTTCCTCCTGCAACTGCAAGATGAACATTAACTTCTCCTCCACCGTTGCCATCGTCGGCCGGTGCTTCGACTGATCGTTAATACAGGCCGCCGCCAGCTCCAAGTAATGCTTCAAACAATCCTGCGAAATCTTCCCCTTCAAATTCGGATCAATAATTTCATAAACACTCCCTTTCTCTAAGCATTTTTTAACCCATAGCGTAAGCTTGAACTTCTCTTCGCCGGCGAGGGGGTCCAGTGGCTTTCTCCCACAGAGCACTTCGAACAAGATGACCCCAAATGAGTACACGTCGGATTTTTCCGTCACCTTAAGACGGCGGTGATATTCCGGGTCCAAATACCCCCAGGTTCCTTTAACCGCCGTGATGACCGCCGTGTTGCTCTGCCCCAATTTCGACATCCCGAAATCAGAAACTCTTGCGACCCAATTTTCGTCTAGAAGGATATTTGTTGTCTTCACGTCACGGTGGATGATGGGTCGATCGACGCCGGTGTGGAGGTAGTTTAGACCACGCGCCGCCCCGTGGCAGATTAGGAGGCGCTTCTTCCATGGCAGAGGAGGATTTTGGGTGTCGTAGAGATGGTCTTTAAATGTTCCGTTTTGCATGAATTCATAAATTAGCAGCATTTCTATGCCTTCCAAGCAGTATCCGATGAGGGGTACAAGGTTTGCGTGGCGGAGCTCTGATAACAATTCGATCTCCGTCTTGAATTCGTGTGCGCCTTGTTGGGATTCTGGATTCAGCCGTTTTATTGCGACGGTGAGATCCTCTTCCTCCTCCAAAATTCCCTTGTAAACGGCACCAAATCCACCAATTCCAATCTCCCCCTCCGGATTAAAATTATCTGTCGCATCTAAAATCTCTTCAAACGTGAAAATCCGGCACCGTCGTTCAGGTAGTAAGATATCCTCGGTCATTTTCTTCATCTTCTTCTTCTTCTTCTTCCTAGATTTCTTCTTACTCTGTTTTCGTATGATCACGAATCCAAGAAGGGAGAATAAGATGGCAAACCCCACGCAGCCGCACACGACGGCGATGATCGCCGTTGAATTTGACTTTTTTAATACTGGTTTAACTTCCGGTGGTGGAGTAGCCGGCCCCATTGGGTTAGGTACAGCAAGATTAGTGCCATTGCTCTGTTTGAACACTTCAATTGCATTCAAAAATGCATCGAATCTCTCACTCAGTAATGGGATTAAATCAACAAGGATATTTGTACGCCCATCCGCCATTGGAACATTGTAGTCCTTGTGAATCGGAGAATTGACGGACTTTATATGGAGGGAGTCGATTTTCCGGCCATTTATGAACACTGTGAAACGTCTCTGTTCTTCATGGAACAGATTATAATGAAACTGGCAAAAATGGAGCCGCACCAGATAATTGAATCCGGCATCGACGGGCAAGTTCATTGAAAAGTTGCGTGAGAGATTGTTATTCCCCAAAATTAAAGCGGACTGATAAACAGAATCTGTGGCTGTGAAATTAGGAGTGGAAGTTGTATAGTTTATAGGAGCAGAGTAATTTTCAATTTTGAAGACCTTAGAACTTACGTACGGATTATTCCCATTCCATGTTCGGTACATGCCGGAATCTTCACTCGGCGGGACCTTGTCGCCGCCGAGGTTTAACCGGTGATAAAGTTGGAGGGCGATGTTGTTTCTGATTATCGGCGTCGGCCCCTGTTTCGCCTGAGAGTAGTAAAGGCTTTCCGGCATGGAGACAACTTCGATTCCGTTGACGAAGGCGTAAGAATTCGGAGATGGGATGAAGGTGATATTCAATTTCGGGGCTTCTCTGGCGACATGGATACAGAACTCTCTGGAGATGGTGTTTCGGTTTAAGGAATCGGCTACGAGGGCGGCGTTGAAGTTTTTGAGGAGAGTGAATTGGGCAATTTGAACGGTGAACAAGGCGTCTGATTCGGGGAATTCGCCGTAAGCATCTGGCAAGAAGTGGAGGCGGATGAATTTGGGGCCGGCGGTGACCGGAAAAGAGTAGGTGAAGGGGGAGAGAGAGAGGCGTGCGGTTTTGAAGAGGAGGTCGTTGACAGCGTTGGCAAAATTGGACCTGACGGTGGACTTGTTGACGGCGTTTGGTGGGTCGGAGGGGGAGAAATGGGTGGCGAAGTCGCCTGTCCAATTCCGGCCATCCCGTGCGATTCTGAAGGCGGCGATACCGCAGTCAACGGCGATGTCATCGGTGGGGACATAGTAAGAGGTTTGAGAAGTGAAGGGAAGAAGGAAGAAGAAGAAGAAGATTGGGAAGAGAAGAGTAAGGATTTTCATGGATGAATGAATGAATTTGGTTCTGCAATGGAACATAAAGATTATCCTTTTTAAAAAGCCTGAAATGAAAATAGAGGAAAATAATAATAACTAGCAAAATTGAATTTAAAAAAAAAAAAAAAAAACAGATCTATAGAAACTTTAAATTTTTGTTGTGGAGTATTAAATAATTGTATAATTAGGATATAAATTTTGGTGTCGTATATATATTTATTCTTAACTTATATATTCTAGTATCGTTTGGCTAAAGTTTGCGATTCAATAAATCAAAATTAAAAAATTGTGTTGAATAGATAAATTACGAGCCGAACAAATCATGTGTATGTTAAAATGGGGTGTAAGATGAATCTAACAACCATATATTATAAACGAACTTTAAAAATGACAAATGATTCACGATAATGTTTAGTTAAAAGAACCATTTTCTTCTTCTTTCTTTATTTTTTTTTTTTTATGCTTTTGAATCTTTGTGGTTTCATTATTGCAATGACTTTGTATTTATCAGTCCTATCACTTTTTCATATTTTAATATGTAAAGATGGTTGAATTTGAGACTTTTTGACATTAAAGTTAGTTTTAGTGGAGCCAAAATAGCAATATATCAGAAGAAAATAATTGCCGAAAAAAAAGTAATATATTAGAAGAAAATATTATTGGGGTCATCCAATTATCTATTCATTCCACGTTACCAAAGTATTTGAGTCGATAAAAAGACAACTCGTTGCATCGTTCTTCCTGACAACACATTGCATCGTTCTTCCTTTAACTTTTATCACCGTCATGATAAATTATCTAATGAGGCTAACACAGAGTAAGTAACCGACAATTTATCATTGTTGAATTATGAGCAAATATTTCAAATTATAATTTTTAATACGTATCAACGATACTAATGAAACGTCTATATTGTAGCATATCGTTGAATAATTTGTCGTACTTCAACGATCTTATTTAGTTTAGATGAAATAGGGATAAAAAAAAAGTTGGTAGATGATCGTATACAGTTGGTAGCATTTTCAACCCTTTGTTTTAAATTAATAAATTATTGGACACGAAGTTAGTGACTCATTAAACACGATGAGTTAAAAGGTTAGTATAGATGTGGGTGATGGAGAAGAAGATGAGGCATTTCATTGTTCTTATTTGACACAAACAACAGCAACAACCAAAGCCATACCCACACCCAACCATGACTGTTTAAAGCAAGAGCTCCACAGAAGACAGAGAACCGTTATAAACAACAACTTGAAACACAAACACAGAGAGCAAAAGAGGAAACAATAATACAATATGGAACCAAAGGGTTCGACTCTAGCAGGCGCCGGCGCCGGCGTATGAGTTGCAGTGTTTCTTATTAGTGGGGCTACCACTGCAGTCGCCCATGGGGTTTCCCTGGCCGTTACCACAAGATTTGACGTTCGGGTTCTGGGTTTTGTCTGTGTAGACTTTGATGCCTTGAAAATTCAGAAACCGAGCTATCTCACGACGCACCAGCGATTCCACCTCCACCTCGCCGTACGTGGCGTTGGCCCTGCCCAGACTCGAAGCTCTGCTGCTGTTGCTGGAACAGAGGATGATTGTCACCATCAACGCCGCCACTGCAACTCCCCAAAACGAACACCGACCACCCATTTTTGGCTCTCTGTCTCTTTCTCTGAATGTGGGATTAACAATGGTGGGAGGGGGAATTTATAGTCTGAGTGGGAATTAAAGAAACTTGGAGATGGAGGCAGGGATTCTAATTTCTCTTTCTCTGCATTATTGTTACTATATTATCCTTCCCTTTTCTTTTTGTTGCTTTAGTTTTTTTTTTTTATAATTTAAACTTTGTATTTATCCAAATTCATTTTATAGTGTCATTAGTCTCACCAATTTGCAAGCTTTTGCATTCAAACATTCAAACAATTAACAATCTATTTAGAATGATTTTATGTATTTAAAACACTAGCTACAACAGGGCAACGTCTAATAATATATCGAACAACTCCCTCGAAATATGAGTATCGAGAAGTCTTGCTTTTGTTTCACTTTTTCTTTTGTCTACATTGTATCGTGGTGGTGAACAGTGATGTGGGTTCCCTTCTACCTTTCTTCATGCTCACTGTTTCCAAGCTTTTTCTTTCTTTTATTGGAAATCTTGGAATAAATAGCTTTAATTGATTTATAATATAGAGAAGCTTGTTTGAATATTGCATGTCAATAAATGACTAAATCTTAGGTAATTGAGCAAGATGACAGTTTTACCTCTCTAAAGGCTGAAATAATTCGACTCCTCTAAAATTATGCCTTTCCTGCAAGTTTAATACCCATAAAGAAAAACCATAAAATAGAAAAACATTAATCAATAAATAACAAAATTGAAACTTTTTTATGGGCTAAAAAGAGATTGAAACTTTATAAAAGTTAAAGTTGAAAAGCATCCTGCATACATATAGTGCTTTAAGTACAACTGAGTAACCTTATATATTACCGGAAACATAAAGAAAGTAGTTCAAAAACAATACAATTTTCTTTCTTTTCAAACCTATAAATCTAATAAATTGGAAGGGAATGGGTTTCATATCAATCTAATAGTTTCAGTAGTTTCAAGAGAGAAAAACAGAAAGGAAAAAAATCTAACTCCAAAGACCCAGAAAATAATTATACTAGCAGGAAAGGAAGTCATAATTCAGTTTGGTAGAGCCGACATGTCGCACAAGCTTTTAAAATTAAAGTTAGTTAAAGATGGGACACATTACATTTTACTTTTGCCACTAACAAGACGTCAAGCATTTTAGTGGGATGGCAAAAAGTGAAAGATCAATACTAAAACCAACACCCAAAAAGTATAAGTTGAACAGAACATAATTTATACGTGGCCCCTTCAATTTTAAGCTCTGTACATTTCCTTGGAGCAAAAACTGACAGTTGGATAATAACAAACCTAATTAAGGTCGATTTTTAATTTGAATGATCAAACACAAATTCGTTAAATTTTAAGCCCTCTCTTCTTTCCTCTCTCACTACGCAACTATTCACACTTGACAAGGTGTGTAAAATCCAAACCGACAGAACCCATAGTTAATGATGGGTTTTCCAAGTTCTCATTTCACCTTCATACAGAAGGTACAAATTATTCATCAAAAAAGAGAACATGGTGAGCAATTCTCAAAATTCTCATCTATGAACAAAATCCTCTTCCACGCTAACCACCCAACACTGCACGCTGCCATGATTAATTGAAAGGAAAAGCATTTTACAATGCCACCAACGAATCCAACGGACAAAGATTATAACCGAGTTTCAAGCAATGATTATGCAAAAACTGTACAATGATTAAGATTCAAGTTCGTTCTCTATCTTTGTCAGTTGGGCATCGGCAGGACAGGCAAGACAAGTCTAGGAAATAATTCACCCTCCGTCCACAACATAAATCCTCCTAATATTTGGTTGGGCTTGAGGTGGGAATTCTCCACGGGAAAAGTTGCAGGCTCAAGGTGGGAATTCCCCATTTTAGTTTTGAATTTTGGTCGTTGGGCTTTGTTTCTGGTTATATAGTATTAATTCCAAGGATCCGGAATTGGGGTCCAATACAGGAAAAAGTTTTTCCCAACACCGCCAGCTTAAGGCAGGTTCCATGAGAAATTTTCACCCCTTTTTGCTAAGTGTGGGACATTAGAAATTTGATGGATATGTATAGAAGAGAAAGGAACCTGACCGATCAGCTATGTTCAAAAGAGCAAGGCCAACATGCATAGTTGCTATTAACAAAAGATGCTAAATATAAAAACAAATTGAATCTGAGGGAGGTAAAATAAAATTAAAAAAAAACACTACTCAAATAAATTAAGATCAGAGAGCCGATTGAATGGCCTAGGGGTATATAGACGATGGTATAAGCCATTAATTTAAACCAATTCGAATCTAGTTCCCCAAGTCAAAATTTGAACAAATTTAGAGGATTGAGTAAAACATGATACATCCTAGAATTTATGCAGAAAGGTAGATGGTTTAACTTACAGATGAACAAAAATCCAATCTTCAGCGAATTGCCAAACCTTGAACACCCTGTGATCCATCCTCAACTACTTTGTTTGCTCGAATGGTGCCAATGACATTCGCAATATTACCCTGTAAAAGCATCAACCATAGTTTTGTTCAAGGAGGAAAACCTGAAGGAAAGGCAGATCACTAACTGCACCTTGTCAAGCCTTGTTAAAGGAAAAATTGGTGTCCAAACTTACGACTAATTACTGGACTTTATAGTTGTCTACTCCCAAAAGAAAATGTGACACATGTAGAGGAACTTTGACGGAAGTTATCTTTAATATTATGAGAGACAAAAGAAATAACTTACCCTCCATGTGGCTAGCTTCATTCTAAGCGTTTCCCACTGATGCTGCCCAAATACACGGTCACTACAGCGGCTGCATGTGAACATCAAAAGAACAATTATATTGGTACAAAATAAGCTTATGCCTAACCAAAGAAGTGTGTTGCAGAGATGTGGATAGTGTGCAGCACACACCTCACAATCACAACTTCATTCATCTGGTCCATTTTGCAGTCAATCAATTTGGAAGTAATGGCCTTCACGACCCACAGTTCCACCTCATCATCCTTGATCTGAAGCACAAATCATACCCAAATGATAAAATAAAACACAAAAGTAAACTTGTAAAAGGGAAGTTACTTTACCCTGAGTGTGTCCTTAATGAGAGCATACGGAATGGGGGCAGATTCATTTGAGCCAAGATCCACCAATGACAATAACCTCATTTTTGCAATACAGTCTTCATGGACGAGACCTTCACCAGTGCAAGAAATATATCCAATGAGTATTGAGTCAAAAAAACAAAGCTAAAATTAGTGATTATTAGAATTATAACTAGAGTGAAGAAGTTTACCATAGCTTTTCAATAAAGTAGAATTTGCAGCTTGAAATTCCAAGTAAGCATCCAATCTCTGAGTCAGAAAAATCTTCAGAAGCTGATAAACCAATGAAGATTTGGGATCCTTCTCCAGTTGCCCTACAGCAGGCATGTCTAACAAATCACACTGCAAACACAAAGAATAGTTTTTAGACAACAAGTCAATAATATTGGTTAAAGATTAAATTTGAAACATAAATTAGGAATACAACAATGGTGAAAATTTTTCTCTTCTAATTTAATCAGTAGCCAAAAGAAATAAAAAATAAAAATAATATGAAGAACAAAAATGCATTCCAAAAACTCACATGCAGTCCAATAAACACTTTTATGAAAAATATTCAGTTTTTTCAACAAGAAACAATAACCAGAGTTTGTTAGACATGAGCATATATCCTGAACTAAATGGTCAAAGTTTGAATCTCCACCTTTATCAAACTCAAAAAAAAAAAAAAAAAGTAACAAGTTGTTTGAGCCATGGTAAAATAGCTTTAAGAATATAATTCACCACAGAAGACACAAAAATATAATTCCCGGATAAGACACTAAAATACCTTAAATAAGTTGGGTGCCTTAATGAATTCAACAATTGCATGAGCAGCTTCCTCCTTTGCTTCATTCAAGTCATCTTCACCAGTGAAAGTGGCCAAATATTTGGTAAGAAACTTGAAATAATCATTTGCAGAACTGAAACCAAAGAGAAGTTGACAATCACATATTAGTTTATAATAATGAGTAAGACTAAACAAAAAAAGGTAGGAGGTAACAGTAAGTGTAAGTAGTAAAAATGTAAAAAAGATACTAAAGGACACTCGTTAAGTAACATAATTCATTCTGTGATACCTCTTACTTCCTTTCAAAACATCGGAGATGGCGAGGAAAAGTTCTCTCTGCTCTATGATTCCAATATTCCACTCTCTCAAGAAACTGTCTATCTTTTTTAATGAGGGAATTATATGTTCAGGGACCTTCCCCTTAAGAGATAAATCCAGGGCCTTCATGTATACATAGAACCGGCTATATGGATTCTCAAGCAGGTTGTACAGATTGAACAAGCTGTAATAGATGAAAACTTTTTAAAAAAAGAAGAGCCAAATCATATAACAAAATGCACAAATTTGGCATGCATTACATCTTCAAACGAAGTGCAGGTTTGTCATTTGGCTGTTGGCCAATCTTAGCAGATATAACCTTCACTATTTCGAATGATTCGTCTGGGTTTCCAGACTTCGTGACAAGATTACAGATAATAGTGAATACACACTCGAGATCTGTACCAGGGGAAGAACCGTGTTAGTGTACATGGATGAAACATTTTCTCTCTCCTCCAATTTCTTTTCACAAAAATGAAAAAAAAAAAAAAAAAAAAAAAAAA